GAAAAAAAGGGAATAAACATAATTGGTTACATTGAGATAAGAAAATAGGTATAATTGGTTTCAATGTTGCGCAGATACATCTGATTCCACGTTACATATCAACCTCCCATAATAAGCTTAGCATGTTCTATGTTTTCTAAAATTCCCACCTTTGGGGTGTGCGTTTTGCTATGCTAATTAAGCAAAGGTTACCACTCGCTCAAGCCTCTAGCTTTGCTAATTCAGCGAAGGTTGCCTCTCGATCAAGCCTCCAATTTTCTACATCTCTAACACCTTGTCTCTAACACTCCTCTTCTACCTCTCTCACATTTCTCCACCTGCCAAACCACCTGCGGTTTTTGCATGACTTACACTTAGAAATCTCATTTTCTGACCACAGAGTCTTCTTGCTGCTCTCAGACTGATACTGGATTCAGAGATAAACAGCCTCTGAACAAGGAGGTTCTACGGATCCCTCAAGGCCTACTGCTGTTGATACTTTTTCATCCCTTTTTAAAGCCATCTAATATAGTGACCATTGCATCTTCTGCCTGCGAATTTCATTAGGGAAAGGATTTTTCTTCCGTTGAGAATCTACTGCCAACCCATTCACCTACAGTTCTCCCCTTCTTCTGCCCCATGCATGCTGTGTAAATAAGCAAAATTACATTTAGTTGCCTTCATCCTAACTGCAGATTTCAACAGCTTTTTGACAAACTCTGTTACTCAATTTCTTGAGAATTTCCTGGGTTAAGAGGATGGATCTCTTATAGTTGTTTAAAGAATAGGAAACAGACAGCTCTTCCATGTAGCCTTCCCATTTCTAATTAATTAATGATTTACACACACATACACACACACCTCCTCTTATTGTTTTCACTAACAAGGAAAAGCTATTTTTAGCTTTAAAATTCACAATATGGACCGCACAGCCATGCAGTCAGCAAAGGTGGTCTGTTTCCCATTGAAAATTTCATGGATTTGGTGTAATAATTTAATTTTTTAACCTCTTTTACTCTCCAGCCCTGCCTCTGTTTAGTAGCATTGTTATATTGTGCTTTTTAATTAATATTTATCTTTTCTGTAAACTACCCAGAGTCATTTTCTAACGAGATGGGCAGTGGCAAATTTGATATATAAATAAATATTAAAAAAATAAAATCCCACAGACTGAATATTACCTATTCAGAAAAAAAATCAGAAGTCTGGTGGCCTCTTTTCAGGCTAACAGATTTTATTTAAAGCCTTTCATGAATTACAGCTCATGTCATGAATATGTTTTGGTGTTGATTGAAAAAAGTAAAGACAATTCAGAAAAAAATATTTTAACATGAATGGTAAAGGTTTAGGAAATGGTAGGCTAGTTGTTTGGAGAGTTTTATAAAAAGGAAAAAATTGCTAGTTCTCCAAGGGAATAATGAAATGTTATGCTTCACAAACCATGAATCAGATCCAAAGGAACATCTCTTTACAGAAGAATTATTTTCTAATATAAAAAATCCCTTCTGTCAATAGAAAACACCTGAAGATCACACTATTTTGAATGATTTTTGATTCAACAAAATGACTGGCTTCAACTCTCAACAATGTTCATATCCTCAGTCATTACCTCTAAATGTGCTGTTAATCTAGACTCTGGCTCCACCTGTGTGAACAATTTTAACATAAAAATGGCACACAATAATTCATAAAGAAATGGCATGGAATGGAATAACTGGATGTCACCCTCTAGCACAGTGTTGTCCAAACTTGGCACCTTTAAGATGAGTGGACTTCAACTCCCAGAATTCCCCATGCTGGCTGGGGAATCGGGGGAG